GTACTGAAGCTGTTTCTAGAACGGGAAGAGGTCCACACCGAATCACGAGACAAAGTCGGCAGGACACCGCTCTCCTATGCCGCCCAACATGGGGGGGTGGGAGTGGTGAAGTTGTTTTTAAAAAGGAAAGAGGTCAACACCGAATCGCGAGACGAAGGTGGAAGGACGCCACTTTCATACGCCGCCTGGTCCCGGGATGCGAGTACAGTGAAACTTCTTCTGGAACGGGAAGAGGTCCAGGCAGAATCACAAGACCAGAGAGGAAGGACACCACTCTCATACGCCGCCCAGTCTTGGAATGATGGAGCACTGAAGCTGCTTCTAGAACAGGAAGAGGTCAACCCTGAATCGCGAGACGAATGTGGAAGGACACCACTTTCATACGCCGCCCAGAGTTGGAGTAGCGAAAAAGTGGAGCTGCTTCTAGAACGAGAAGAAGTCAATGCCGAATCACGAGATCATGATAGTAGGACCCCACTCTCATACGCCGCCGAACATGGGAGTGAGAATGCGGTAAAGCTATTTCTAGAACGGGAAGAGGTCAACGCCAAATCGCGAGACAGAAATGGCAGGACCCCACTTTGGTACGCCACTCAATATCTGAATTTGGATACGGTGAAACTGTTTCTAGAACGGGAGGAGGTCAACGCCAAATCACAAGAGAATCTAGGTAATACACCACTCTTTCACGCTCTCGAAAACAAATTCGTGGAGATTGGAAAGATGCTTTGGGAACATAGGGGGGTTAATTCTCGTTTGGTAGCTCTGCCCCACGATGAGGAGGTTTCCCAGCCTTTTCAGGAATGGCTGGATACCATGCCCGCCACTTCACATCACGATTCCCGACCCCTGACCCCCTCCTCGTGTAAAGTCGGCCCAGAATCAGGGCCACAAGATACCAACATGAACATGCCCCATACCAGTATCCAGGATCCCACCCTACCTACACTTTTGACCTATAGCTCCCATAGAGACCCCGCAGCAGCCACCGGCGACCCTGATCTTGACCCTCCCACCTCACCTCTGACAAATCTTGCTCTGCCAACCGCCGTGGCCATTGGATCCCTTGAGCCCCCACCCCAACCGCAGCGACGGTGGTTTTCACAAGCTTTCAGCGATAGCTCTTCGGTTCCCACCACGTCAAAAAAGAAAAGGATTTCTTAGTTCTCCCCCTCCACCTGATATCCATTGCTACGCCTATTTGGTTCCTACTTTATCTTATATGGCACGATTAGAACTTCAGCCGCATAGAGGCGCGTGTTGCTCTACCAACAGCTCAGCTACCCTAGTGTAGTTTTGTGCAGTTCCTGACTCCTATACCACCGCAATCCCGCTCACTGACGCACTTTCCGTCACGCTGGGGGTGCTTGTGTTGGTGTAAAATATTTCCTTGGAAACCAACCATTTTCCTGTTATTCTCGATTTTCTGTTCTCTCATTTTTGTGCTCTCTATTGGACCTTCCTACCAGATGTTTATGTAGGATCACCCAGGACCGATCTTTGCCTTTGGCCTTTGTTTCTTTTTCCTATCTTTCACCGGCGTCTACCTAAATTCATCTGCTTTTTTCCCCTTTCCTTTTCAAAACATCTCCTTCTAGATTCCTCTGTTTCTATCGATGTTCGTGACTGCTACAATATTGGCAAGAGGCGCCCATTAATCATACTAGTGAATATGGGTAGCATTAAGTGCACTTCTAAAAGAATGATGATAATTCAGGATAAGAGCAACTAGGCGACTGCATTAGGAAAGAGGTTTTGGGTTCTCCAAAGGCATAATATTATGAAATGTCATCCTGTAGGCATACGGGTACGAAGCGTGATTAGGCACAGAGTGATAGATTTTCTATTTCACAACCCACCATTAAGAGCAATAAACCACACTCAATGAGTGATGTGCCCCGTTCTCCAAATTTTGCCCGTCGGCACTCTGAGCGAAAGATACCCGCTAAGTGAGGACTAAGTGTTTCCCGGTTTTTTCAGGCCCTTTTCATAATAAGGTTTCTTTCCTCACCGCTGGGTGGTGTGAGCGCACCCCGAATCAGAGATACCCAATATCACTCGAGGACTGATACATGTGTCAAACCGCAGGTTTGCACCCCCCACGATGCCACATGATGATAATACAGCGCGGTAACCACGAAACTGTCAGGCGCCATTGGTGGCCCCGGTATAACAGAACCCCTAACGCAAGAGAGCGGGGAGGACATGCACATTGTGCTAGAACAGAATCCAAGACACGTCTAAGCGTAAAATCCCGAAATTTCCCGGATCTAGCCTACTCCCACTCCAAACCCCTGCAGCTTGAAGACTTAACCCGTGAGGTTATAAGAAACCTCAATTGAGCGGTTTTTTTTTCTTTGCGGGAGACAGAAACAAATTTAGGCATTGCCAGGTACACATCTCAAGTTGCCCATCCTCCGCTCCCCGCGTTGGCGAAGTCGTCCCCAATTCAATGGAAGCATAGCATGAGGATCCAAGCCAGCCGGAGTGCTTCCACCGAAGAGTTCGTCAATGGTAATAAATGGGTCCAACCAGAGGGTTCGGAGTCGGGAACATAGACAAAGAACAAAAATGGAATTTAGTTACAGCTCGAGAGTGACCATCTAGAGGAGGATCCAGAAGGGAAATCATACCAGTGGGTCCTCAGTGTTCCCAACGGGCTAGGGTAGGCCAGGCCGAACCAAAACCGGGCCCAGGCTGCTGCGATTATCGGGGAACGACCCTGGCCGGAGCCTGCAGGTATTGAAAAACCTGGGCCGCACCACGCCGGGCCAAGCTATAGGCAGTATTGGCTTAGTACCCACCGCTTGATAGGTTGGCCCTGCCTATGTAGCCTAGCCTGGCCTGTCTGAGGCCGGCTCTATAGTCTCTTCAGATCTTTGGTTTCTGTTCAGTTCATATTTCATTATACCCAACTGCTCCAAGTTACTCCCGTGACAATGGTAACTTTATAGCGCCTAGGCGAATTCTACGCATTGGTGCTAACAGACTGGAAGTAGTATCCATAAGATCATTAATAGTCCTAGGTGCTGAGCCTATGTGTGGGTCGTGATATGGACTTTCTCGCTATTGGTGGACACCCCCGAGATGTAATAGGACTAGGTCAATCATAGCGAGCATAATCACTGGTGGATTCAACCGAATTCCAGTGGAAGAAACTAAATCGGAAGGAAGAATTATGCGATAGGACTGTGTTGGAGAACCCGGAGGTGAATTTCCTGGACTTTGTTGAGTTGATTGTGAATTGCTCCCTGTGTAGGTACTCCAACCAACAACCGAGGATATAGATGAAAATTTAATGATAAGCCACAATGAAAGTTCTCAAGAATCGAGCCATCCTTATATCAGTTCAAAATCTGTTTACAGGCTGATAGGCTTCTAATAGGCCCGATAGGCTTCTGCAGGCTTCTGCAGGCTGGTTGGGTTCAGGCTATATCAGCCTAGGCTCGTTGTCGGAGTGGCCCCGCCTACAACCTATGGGCTGTCCTATCAGTGGCCAAGCCTGTTGGGACCATTGTGTTTCCTCACTATGATTCCAGAAGGAAGACACCGCCAAATGGTAAGGACGGCTTAAATTGCATCATTGCGATTACGCTGATAGAATTTGAGTAATGTCACAACCTTGACGGTACCTGCAGATCCTGCCTGCCATATTTCACCATACCAGTACAAGCTGATGTAGGTCTCCCTCCAACCCGGCTCAAGGGTGATTGACGGTAATTCACTAGGCACTCTACCAAGATAGGGACTTACGGCAAAGTCGGGAATCTTCACTGAACCTGCAAACCGCCTACAAAAGTTGCGGATAGCTGTTGGCTTATTAGCATCACCCTCTAAATTACACAACGCGGTAGCCATAATTGGTAGGCTAAACTCAATTTGATCCAGGCTGTCAGAATCAAAGAGGCGATCGGCAACCCACGGGTGTACCTCACGGTACATCCAGCAAACAGGGGACTCATGCAGGTGGGTGGGCATCACCAGCCGAAGGCAACAGTCGACTGAGTTTTTTAAGTGAACTCTGGAAATTGTTAGTTTGGACTGTAGACGGGTAGAGGGAGATTTACAGTAAACCGAAGTAGTTGTTTCCCAGTCTAGGTTGTAGAGGGGTACCAAGAGTTTCTGCAGACACAGCAGGATCAAGTTTCCCGAACATAAGAAACTCGCAGCGGTGAGTTGCAAGTAAGGACTTGATTGTCTGAAGGGTACCTTCGGCCAATATAAGCTTGCGTGGCTCACTCAGTTTATCGGGAATCTTCTTGAGGCGGGCGGTGGGTGAGAGTGGGGAGTCCGCCAGAGCATGGAGTGAATACGCTGACATTAAATTTTTTTAAAAAAATCAATACTTGATCCGACTAATTGATTGCATTTAACTGGTGAGGTAAATTAGTGCATACTTATCCGGGAGCAGTATAACATCACCATGTGGACAAATGTATGAGCAGTGGGTCGGAGGATTCTCAATTTATTAGAGGGAAGCAGCATTCATGATGATACACTGACTTGCAGGTTTTATTCTGCAACAAACTGATGGTCAAGCCCATCGTTATTCTGATGTCGACCCGAGTGCTTATCGTTCCCAGCATCGAGACACTCATCTTCATAGTTCCACCCCCCCCATCTCCTCTAAACAAATCACGGATTTCATCATTTAATCGTAACAGGAGTGTCCAGTGGGCTTTGGATAAGCTACCCTATTGTGATGGGGCCTGCCGTGTTGTACGCCGAGCTATGCGAACCGGCAGTTGGAACCGCACACAATTAAGCGCAGAATACTCGAGACAAGTGATTTTCCATGACGCTTATCGTATCCGGTCCGACGTTAATCCGGTCTTGGCAACAGGGATGCCCCCCGGTTTCACGGTTCCACGTCACACGCCGACCCAAACACCAACACAACCACCGATCGATCCATCCACCCATCCACTTACTATGTATGTTATCCCACGCTCCCTCCCCACCTCGGAGCCCCCCTCCCCTCTTCCCCTCCCTTGCACAACAAGTTACCTCGCCCGCGTCAAACAATAAAACGATGGCTCCAAGACCTTACGAAAACAAATTCCGCGTTCGCCGTTCAACTGCTACCTCTACACCTGCGGTCTACGCAGTCCCTTCCGGCCCGCACCGTGGCGTTCATCTCCTGAGGTAACTCCCCGCTCCCGATCCTCCCCCCTCCCCAAGCTAACCCAGATGAAAGCAACGAGCCCCTCCCTCCCTCCGTCCAATACATGTACCGCCACCCCATAAACGTCCATAAGTCCCTTCTCACGATAGACTTGACCTCCACGACCACTATCCCCAAACGCTTTGACAGTATCGACGCAGCGCAACGGTACATCGATGCTGTTGATGAGAAGGGGCAGGAGGCGAACGAGGGGGATTTACTAGCGGAGCAGCTGGCCCGTGGGTTGACCCTAGGAAGTGGGGGTGGGAGGCGGAGTGAACCGGTTTATGGAAATTTGCCCGAGAGTGTGAGGGGGAGTGTGAGTGAGAGGGAAAGGAGGGTGGAGGTCCTTGATGGGATAGTGGGAAGTGGGAGAAGGGTGAGGAAGGTTTGGAAAGGAAGCTATAGCCGAAGTCATACCGGGGCGGGAGAACGTTTGAGTGGGGCAAGTTCGGGTGGGAGAGTGGAGAGCTGGAGGAGAGGGGTTGAGGAGAGGCTTGCCGCTCTGAGGATTTGTGCAGGGGTTGCGGCGGGTAGGGATGATATGATTGATGAATAAAGTGAGTTACTGTCGGTATTGATGGAGGTAGGATCCAACTCTTTTCTTTTCCATCCGCTTTCTCCGCAGCGCTTTGTGATCGGGTGGCTAGTGTATAGATGTACATCAAATGCGTTGTTTCCTGGCATCATGAGATTTCTTTATCCATCTACTTCCTTTCCTATCTTTTTCTACCCTCTTCTTGCCTTCATGCATTGCGGGATTTTATGAGGGCTCGCCTTTTGCTACATTTGCTGGCGTACGGAGTCCGTGAGCATGGTTTGAGTGTCTGTTGTATGTAGGAAAAATTAGTCAATAGGATACCGGTAGGAGCGACCATTTAATCCTCAAAGTGCATAATACGTTTCACCCACTCAAAAGGGGTTTCCTCCTAACGCTTAACGTATGTCAGCGAAAACAGGAACAGAGTAGTACCGTAAGAACAGGTGAGAAGAGATTCAAACAATATCAGAGCAAATCCTGGGACGGGGAATAATGAGAGGAGAGGGTTGGGGAGGCTTTGCATAACAATAATAATACGATCTGTGATTTTATGATCTTATTCTACACTCTTTGGGCCTTATAATCGCTCTTTCCTCGACCAACCAAGAATCCGAAGGGGAGGAAATGCCGTAATCTCCTCGGGAGTCAGTCGCCAGTCCTAGTAGGCTACAACTGCGGGGGCGGTGGTCCCCAAGATCCCGCAAGGACTATTAATTTCTTGACTAATTCAGAGCTTTCGGAGAGCACTATACACAAAAAGTACGATCTCCCAATTAACCGACCCGACATGAAGGATCGAACAAGGCACCACCTCTATGAATATATATATGTTGTTTTAATTCAATCACTCCCTTCCGCCATCCCATGCAGCGCCGTTGAAGATAGCGCCCAATATTTCCGGCAGTATGGAGAAATGCCCGCGCCACGGTCTCGGGATCAATCAATCTGCCTTTCCGGGATGATGGCGGTTACCGGCGGCTTTGGAACTGCGATCTACCGGACTTTCTCAGCCAGATGTTGTCCTTGGGCAGGTAGATTTTTTTTAAAGAGCAGCGGATGGGGCTTCGAGACTGATTGAAGCTTTTCGCCGGGTGGAGCTCGGCGGGGGTTGAGGAGCGGTGACTCACATTTATGATATTATAGCCAACTGCTAAATTTCCGGGCTCAAAAATATCATGAAGCGGTCAATTTGGAGGACTTATATTTTATACCCCTTGCTCTAAATCCCTTCTCATCAACTTGGGGGGTCATACTTCCTTCCACGCACCATTGATTATATATAATCCTAGATTGGTATTGGGGTGGGACAGTCGGACTTGCAGAAATCAGCGCTCCGAGAGGATGTGGAGAACGAGGTGGAGGGAGAGGAAGGGGGGGTGCCCTTGTGCCTTAATTTTATGATATTTTTCTCCAAGAATTTGGTTTGATTTTGCGGTTCTCGTTTCGGAGCGCTGGTCGCCATAGACGCTAGGGGGGTTATCTCCTAATGGATATAAAGTGTGATAGCTTCTGGGGTGTTTGGTAATCTCGGAGGAATATCAGAATAGTTCTCATTATTCTAGTGATGGCAGGTGTTTCTGAGAGCCAGGTCCGGTATTACAAAGCAGTTTTTGCTGAGCATAGTACGGTGATAGAGGACGTAAGGCGCTAGTTCTTCCCAGCAGGAGAATTTTTATTCCTCACTCTTAGGGAATCGACCTGTCCTCTCACCTCTTTTCCTCTAACAACGGAGACAAAGGTGTTATCATGGTTGGGAGGAGCAGGGATTGCCGGAGAATAGTTTGCCCGTTGCCCACCGGAGCCAGAGTCAACTCAGGCACGACTTCACAATGACCGAATTGTCGCTCCACCCTACCGCGCAAACATCACGTCATGCCTGTATGCCATAGCAGCGGGAAATCACCACCACCACCACCAAATACGTATCCAGAATATATAAAACCACAATCAGCGCTTGTCCTGTCCCGTCAATCGATGCAACCCCGCCGAAACCCAGCCCCCGCCCACCATGGCACTGTTCGAAAAATCTACCCCAACAAACGAACCAATCCCAACCGTAACTCGCCAATGGATCCTCTACCAATACCCCCAAAGATCCCACCCCATCTCAGGTTCCTTCAAACTAACCCAAAGGCCGCTCTGCCCCTCCACCCCTACTGCCAACACCCCTTCGACTCGCCAAGGAGCCCACAAACCCGCCAACAAGATTCTACTAAGAACCCTCTGGTTCTCGAACGACCCCGCGCAGCGCGCACGGATCAACAACGCGAGCACGGACCGGCTGTACACCGATTTCATGAGGGAGGGAGACGTGATGAGCGCGACGGCGATAGGGGAAGTAATCGAGAGTTCCCATCCGGAGTATAGAAAGGGAGATCTAGTCCGCGGGGCATTCGGGTGGAGCGAGTATGTCCTCGCCGACACGGACTCGTCCCACGACTGGCAATTGATGAAGATCCCGCCCAAGACTAATCCCGCGGACTTCATGGCTATGGGCGGCACCGCCCTCACCGCGTACTTCGGCCTCCTGAGTGTTGGCGCTGCCACCTCCGCCGACAAGACCATCGTTGTATCCGCTGCCGCTGCCGCTGTTGGCTCAATTGTGACTCAGATAGCAAAGAACGTCCTTGGCGTCAAAAGGGTCATTGGGATCGGCAGCAGTGAAGAGCAGTGCAACGTCATTAAGGAAAAGTGCAGTGCCGATATCGCGCTGAATTATAAGAGTCCAAATTTCCGTCGGGAGTTCGAGGAGGCGACGCCAGAGTATGTGGATATCTATTTTGACATTACGGGTGGTGAAGCGCTGGAGTTGAGTTTGAGGAGGATCGCGAGGAACGGGAGGGTCGTCGCTTGTGGGGCAATCTTCCGGTATGATTCTAGCGGGGAGGAAATGATTGTTAGTGCTAAGGCTTGGACGAATATTGTCTGTTTCTCCTTTTCTTTTTCTTCCCGCCCCCTGGGGTGAGTGGCTGCTGACGGTGGTGACGGTGTCTAGATATTTATGAAGGCTCGAGTGGAAGGTTTTACTATCTCGGAGTTTAAGCATAGGTTCCCAGAAGCGCGGGAGCAGGTATTCCGGTGGGTGAGGCAGGGCAAGATTCACCCCCTAAAGACAGTCTGGAGGGCAAAATTCGAAGAGCTGCCCCAAGGAATGGTCAAATTGCTGAAGGGAGAGCATGTTGGAAAGTTAGTTACGGAGATCATCACGGAGTAGCTTTGGAGAATTCTAGGAAGGAAACAGAACCCATATGTGACATTTAACTATCCGTCTCTGTATCATATCATATCATAACGTCTCACTCGTTGAGCTGCGCCCAGCCACCTGCAGGTGGACCCTTGCTCTTCCCATCCTCGGCTTAGGCCCCCACCCTTGAGCCCCCTCCATATTGCTCCGGGACGCATAACCCTAACCCACAACCTTGTGAGCCGCGGTGGTGTAAAGTATTATACTCGCGGGACCAGAGCCTAATCCTAACCGATACCCCCGCACTAACCACGGCCCCCCCGCCTACAATTCGCGATGGCCCCTCTAAAGCTAACAGTAGCCCAATACGCCACCTCCCCCACCCTGGCGGAAACTCTCTCGAACCTCAGGGAAATAACCATAGCCGCTTCCAGCACGGGCACAAACCTCGTCCTTTTTCCGGAGGCCTTCCTAGGCGGGTACCCGCGCACCAGCACCTTCGGAGCAAGTATAGGCTCCAGGACGGATACGGGGAGAAACCAGTACCAAAAGTACTGGGCGCAGGCCGTCGACCTGGGCGATACCCACCCGGACGGACTAGGCGTGTACGATGCCCCGGGGGACGGCACGCGCGAGTTCTTGGAAGGTCTGGCCCAGAACACGGGGGTGTTTTTGGCGGTTGGGGTGGTGGAGAAGGTTGGCGCTACACTGTTTTGCGGGGTCGTGTTTGTGTGTCCGAGGGGGGGCATTGTGGGGAAGAGGAGGAAGGTCATGCCGGTTGGTGTTCCTTTCTTGCTAGTAGATGTCAGGGCAGAGTTTTCTATAACGCTGATCAAGCGAGGGGGAGGATAAGACCGGTACTGAAAGGGTAGTTTGGGGGATCGGATCTCCAAAGACCTTGAAAGCTCTCAAGACCGATATTGCCGGTCAGAAGGTCATACTTGGTGCAGCGATATGTTGGGAGAATTAGTATTACTCCCCCCCCCCGTACATGTACTTAAAAACCATTCGTACGATACACCAGCATGCCCCTCCTACGTGCGACCCTCTACACTCAAAACACAAGCATATACCTCGCGCCGACTGCCGACGCCCGCGAATCCTGGATCTCAACAATGCAGCACATAGCCCTAGAAGGCCGATGCTACGTGCTCGGGTGTAACCAATTCGTGACGAACATCACGCTCCCGCCATTCGCGGACGATGCGGCCGCCTCAACGCGTCCCGAAGAGATGGGGACAGATATGGCGGGAGAAAAAGTTTTATGTAATGGCGGGTCTGTAGTGTTTGGCCCCATGGGGGAGGTCCTTGCGGGGCCGCTGTGGGGAACAGAGGGCACATTGAGTGTCACTGTCGAGGATCTGGAGGGGGATGTAGTGAAAGCGAAGATGGACTTTGACGGTGGGTTTTCGGGACATTATTCCCGGAGCGATGTGTTTAGGTTGGAGGTTGCGGGGCTAGAGTTGTGAGTGGGGGGGTGGGTGTTGCAGTGCCGTTTAAGAGGATGTAAGTGGGCAAATTGACAAGATAAATTAGCAACACCCCAAATCACCACAAGGAAAAGACGTTATATGCCGTAAATAAGTGAAACCAAAGACACAATGCACGGACAGGTCCATCCAGCTATTGTACGAGTGATGCGGACCAGATACGGGTGCCTAGAAACCATCCCCCAGCATCCGCATGCCGACATCGCTGCGCTAAGTAGACAGTTCAAAATTTCTCACCAACAAATTCCTACCCCCACCAAAAGCATCCCAAAGAAGCAATCACAAGAGAAATACAGAAATCTTGACTCCAAACAAAGACATGTCGGACCACCCCCTCATGTCTTTGTAACGGCCCGAATACTACTTCCGGAATTCATTCAAGATAGCAATGTAACAAGCCCACCACGAACCACACCCAGGCCGTCAGGCCAAGCACGATATCTACCCACCACATCCCACAGAGAACACCGGAGACCCAGAAGGTGGAGCGGATACATCAACACCAGCGCTGGGTATCTGGCCTCTTTCAGGCGTGTGCTTAGTGCC